GAAGATTAATCCCCATCCCGAAAGGAGGAGGAGAAGGAGCAGCAGGGGGAGGGGGAGGAGGAGGAGGAGGAGCAGGAGGTGAAACAGCATCTGAAAGTTTGACTGGTTCATATTTCCATCACATTCAACAGGTGCAGGTTTCCTCCTCATGGTTTTACCACCGGGCTTTAAACATCAATGCTTTATTTGACTTTTTTTCAATGACAGAAGATATTAAAATGTTAATTAAAAAACTTCCATTTTCAGTTATTTAAATCTATTATTGCAAAAGTTTTAAGTTTTAATTTATTTTAAACTGTACAACATCAATGCTTTATTTGACTTTTTTTTTTTCAACAACAGTGTTTAGATATTAAATAATTTTTAAAAAACTTTCATTTTCAAAAGTAATTTAAATCTATTGCAAATGTTTAACTATGCATTGAGCAGTTTAAATTTAATGTTTTTGTACTTTTGTACTGTAAACTGTATTTCATTGATTTCTCTGAAAACTCAATGCATTAATACATTAGATTGAAAAACTAACAAAATCTTAAAATATATTTTAAATAAAATATTTGTTGAATTGAATTGACTTTATTTTAGTTAAAAGATAGTGAAACAAAGATGTTTAAAAATACAAAAACTGCTCTGAAACGTTGCTTTAATTGAACTTTAAAACAGTTTTTTTGTGTTAAACTTTTTATTAGTTTTTGACTCATGTGAAAAGTTAAGGGTTAGATGATGATGGTGGAGAGGAGGTTTGACAGGGAGAAGATTTAGAGCAGCAGCAGCTGAGTGATGATGATGATGATGATGACGGCGATGATGGTGATGGTGTCAAACCAGTTTGAGGCTGTCTGCCTCGGCAGGGCGGAGATGCTGTTGTTTCTGTTCTGGGTGTGGTGATGGAGAGGGAGAGGGAGAAGGAGGTGGGGGAAGGGCGGGAGACGCTCTTTCACGCCTCCTCCTCCTCCCCCGTCTGGAAGCAAATGGCTCATCACCTTCTTCCTGTGTTGTTGTCCACACAGTAACTTGAAAACTTTTTTTTTTTTTTTCTCCTGAAGCTGATCGCTGGTTCTTGTTATTATTTGAATGTCCCACATGGACGACACATGGTCTGCCTGAGTAAACAGGAACCCCGACTTCACCTCAGGTGAAGGCCGACAAAACCGAAACTGTGTCGTGTAATGGTGCGAGAATGAGCAGAGAACCACAGAGAAGAACCCTGTTTATCTGTCTGAGAATCTTCTGGTCCTGGTTGAATCATGTGACCCGCTGGTGGGAGGGGCCTGGTCGTCATCTGTGGTGTAATTTTGTTAATGCTGTTGTGCTGAGTAAGCACCCGGTCAGTCGTGAGTCAGTGTCTCCTCCTGTGGTCTGTGGTTGAAGGTGTGAGGCCCAGGTGCATCGTGGGATGCCATTTAATTTGCTTATAAACCAATCACCTAAAGATGAGGCTTTACAGTGGATTCATGAATGATTCACAGCTGCAGTGAAATATTGATTCATCGATTCGTAGAGTTTTTTTTTTTTTTTAATGATGATTTAATTCTTTGCAGTCGATATGATGCTTTTCATTGGTGGAAAAAAAAAAATTCCATCTCATGTTGAAAGATGTCGCCTTTACTAGTTGTTGTTGTTGCACAAATTCATTGATTAGATTTAGTGGCTGCACAGGTGATGGAGGTCACATGACCTCAGGAACTTCACGTCTAAAAACCGATCCACTGATCAATGGAATGGTGAGAGCAGGATGGTGAACACTGAGTCCTGACCGAGAGGATGAGTGAAACCTGAGACACGGGATGAATAGAGCTAAAGTAGGACATAGACTTGCACACAGGCACACACACGTACACACTCGTGCACACACACACACGCATACGTACGTGGACACCGAACCCACCAGGACAGCCCTGTGGTCTCCTCTCTGGGTTTAAATTTAGGCCTGAGGCAGCTCGATCATATTCATGGACACACACACACACACACACTGACACACATGGACACACACACACA